TGAAATATTACTTACAATATTGAAGACTTATGGCATACACACTTTCTAGTGAAGTGCATTTGTAATTTGTTTGTTTTGTGTTTCTTGACTTTCTAATATATGTGGATCATGCATGTATAGTCTTATCTGCTCCATCAAAATAAATATTGTGTGACAATATAGTCGCAATTTGTCCTTTGCTATAGACAATATGATCAATAATATTGTACATAATTAAATGCTTTTATTTTTGCTATCTGAATAACGTTTACACATATTTCTGTTTACAGCATACCTATATAGTTGGCGATGACAGTGTTGAGGGTTGTTTGCCATTTGCAGACTTAATGGCAGATGATCGATCTGCATTTTCTAAGGATATCAAAATAAACCCAGTAGAAAACGTGGCTGTATTACCATATTCTAGTGGCACTACTGGACTACCAAAGGGAGTTATGCTGACCCACCAGAACCCCATTGCTAGTTGTGAGATCGGGTATGTGCAATTATTGAATCATGTTACACATTTAAAATCTGTTCTTAAAAGTATGTATTCCAACATGATTTTAACTGAATGGCAAGTTCAGTGCAATGATTAGATTGTCGACAGCCCTAGGCCTAATTTGTTAGTATACTACATGTAATTTAAATCAGCAAACGTTTTGCAAGAAATGCCGCAGGTATTTCAGTGAAGGCGGCCTGAAGACTGTTCACTTCTGCATAGTTGTCTTTGTATTAATTATGCAAGCAAGCGAAGGACTTCACTCAGTTATAATAATAGACGGAGCATGGCTCGGCTCACTTCCTGTTTAGAGGTCAACAAAATAAAGTTCACGGGGCCATGTGCTTTTTTAGCTATTCCTTCGTGCTTGTGATCAAAAGATATTTCATAGTTTTAAACCAGACAACAACTTAGTTAAGGTCAACGCGTATTTATTATTATTGCGGTGCAGCATATTTTGCCGATCATCGTCGAATTGAATACAATGTCAATTGCGCAATGACGTGTCCACCGAATCTGTGATTGGCTGGTTGCTTCGTGACGTTGCATAAGCTGTCAATCATTCTCTGTTCAGTACCGGTGGAAATTCCTGAACCAATTCTTGCAAACTTAGGCCTGTCGACATTCTATGCAATTATATAAATCAAGATGGTGGTTTGGTTCTTTCATATGTAAATTTATCTTTAAAATCGACAGTTTGCTGTCATTCTTGCAGAAAATTCTGATATTATTGTATCAAAAGTTCATCTTGTTCACACGATATATTACTACGAATTTCATTTTAGTTTTTTTAATAGTTTAATCTATTTTTTTTAACATCTCTTCTCAAGATGTCCGATATTATTTGTGTACTACCATTATGTCATTTATCACGCATGCATACGCAGATACTCCAGGGTTTGAAACAATGGAACACAACTGTTCTGCTGCCCAAGTTTCAGCCAGAAGTGTTTCTACGTATAGCCGAGAAGCACAAGGTACTGTCACATTGTACGTTATATAAATATGAGTTCGGAAAACAATGACTGTAATATCCAACTCAAGATAATATGTCAAGTTCACGGAGTACCAGGGTTTCAACTAAAAATCTACCTCTACACGCATCTATAAATATTTCGTCAACTAGCATGGTCGCATTTCGCAATAAAAACCATGAGATTGTGCGCATTTTAAAATGAAATATGCTATACAATTCCATACACGACTGCGGTATACATGTCCACGCCTGAGTGGTTTTCATTGTTCTTACAATGTTCGCATCTTGAAAATGTGGCAGATGAGCGCTATAGGCAATCGCACCGTGACGTCATCTTACGTTTCCGCCAACCAGTATGCGAACGGCTGATAATAAATATATTGATAGCCCGTGATCTGAAATGATGTGACAACGTTATCTGAATGTTGTTTTATTAACAAGGACATATACATATATATTTAATATCAGCAATAACAAACAACGTTCTATTTTATCTTCGGACGTAAACGACCGGTTCCTGCAAATCAATCACTGCAAAAGCGCGCAAAACGTAAATGAGTTTTATGCCAACTTAGGCAGTTGTCATTAATGCAATTGAGTACAAGTGTATTTGACGTTCACCTGGGTCTAATTTTATTAGTGAATAGAATCGGACATTTGTGAGGTCCATTCCACGTGAGTAGATGATCCAGGTGCGCTGTCTTGGTGATAAATACGTTATAATACAATCATTTATTATCGTTCCAGGTTAGTCAATTGTCCGTAGCTCCACCTATTGTTGTGTTTTTTGATCAAGCACCCAATGGTGCATACATATAATCTTTCAAGCGTAGACGATATCGTATGTGACGCTGCACTGCTGGGAGTGGGACACGTGAACTCACTGAAGAGAAGGCTAAATAACGATCAGCTCACTGTACGCCAAGGTATGGCAGCATGGCACTTTAGTACAATACAATACAATACAATTTCACCAGATAAAATACAAAGTAAAAAACGAAAATAGAGATATACACAACTATCTGGCGAGGACAAGAGAGGTAGTTCTAG